CCAAATAAGCAAACTCTCCACCAATCCATCTTTATAATCAATTTTTAACCCACAAAACAGAAAACTTTCATTAAAAAAAAAAAAAAAAAGCAGAAAAATTTCCTTCTCAAATTTTGGCACAACCCTCAAACCATTACAGTGTCACACCCTTAATCCCTCTCCTTATCACCTCCCTTTTCATTTTTCAATATCAAGGACAGCTAGATTACCCACAAATTTAACCAAAAAAAATTCGATTTGAATTTTTCCCCTATTAATTGATTTTTCTCTCATATAAGAGTGAGAGAGAGAGAGGTGGGACAATTGGTTTGAGAGTTCGATCAGAGATGGGATAGTAAGTTGAGTTCAAAAACCAGGAATTCGAGTCAGCGTTGGATGCGTTGCATGAGTTGCAGTTGCAGTAGCTTCAATCGGCTCTCTTTCGAGATTTCGATCGGCGATCTTCGCTAGAGAATCTCACTCTCAAGCTGCACTGATCCTCCGATCCGGTGATCTTTCGCCGAATAATTTCGTTTTCAAACTTAGAGCCTATTTGGTGGAACTAAACTTCAACTTGTTGGAACTATTCATATTTTTATAAATTAAAAATTTTTTTTAAAAGTTTATATCTTAAAATTTTTTTTTTAACTTTAAAAAATTTTTAATAATAAAAATTTAAAAATTTTAAATTTAAATTTTTTATAAATTTTTTAACTTATTTTTTACTCATTTTTTTATTTTTAAAAATAATTTTTAAATTTTTTTTAATAAAAATTTAAATTTATCACTTATAATAATATTAAAAAAATAAAATCTTTCACAAATCAAACCAAAAATGTCCTTAAATGAGTTCCATTAAAGAGAGAGTGAAAGATGAAGCCAAGGAAGAAAAAACAGATGGGTTCATGCTTCGTTGTGTTTATTTATTTATTGAACTAATTAAGTAATCAGTTGATTATTTATATTATAGTAATCAAGTAATTAATTTAATTAAAAAAAATGATTTATGAAGAAGCTCTTCATATCATTTTTTTATTTATAACTTCACATGCGAATAAAATAACATATTTTTTTATTTATTTAAAATTTATAATATTAAATATATTATTGATTTAGTTCATAAAAATATATATATATATTTAATAATATAAAAAAATTATTCATTTATCACCATCTCTTTAATTAAAGCTTTGTAATTGATTTGTACCAAAAAAAGCTTTGTAATTGATGAATGGTTAGTAAGAATCCACGTGGCACCCCAGGTGTTAGAAAAAGTCTACTAAACTTGGATTTATGGGATTGTTGATGTAAGATGCATGTCGTATTAAATTTAAAATTATTTGCCTTAAGTCAAAAAAAAAATTTTAAACATATTTGTCCTTGTTTTTTTGCTCAAGCATAAATTCCTTCTTAGTGACGAACTTTGGAATGGACTTGGTATTCTGCCCAAGCAGTATAACTGTTGCGTGGACCTCTTCAAGAGAATTGACAGTTCCTTCTGGTTGCACTTATTAGAATTTGTAACATCAAACCAAATTATTTAAATCTGAAATACGAAGTTTCTTTTGGCATTTAATATTGTCAATTCAACGAAGTACAAAACAATGAAACAAGAGTTAATCAGAAAGAGCAGGGCGACAGAACGGTTCAAACCATGAAGAAAGCTTCAAAATTAGAAGCAGTGCTTACAGCCTCACAGCTACACACGGTTTCCTCTCCTGAAGTAATTCCATTGTCCACCTATATATAATCCCCTAGTATCACCCAGTTTTTCCATATCCAATCCACTTTCTGTAATCACTAACCAGGTTTATTAGCTTACTCTGTTCCACAAAATGAAATCATCTTCTTCTACAATGATCTCTCCCATCTTCTTCCTTTTGCTCTGTTTTGCATATGCTTCTGCTTCAGGGGCTTATCTGAGAGTTGGGTACTATCAAAAAACTTGTCCAGAAGC